TGAGCCCCCTCATGTGACAGAAGGCCGGAGGGCCGGCACTTGACCCATGACTCAAACACATGAAGGCCATTCCAGTTTCAATTCCCAAAACTGATCTAAGTTTAAGTCTCACAAACACTGACTACTCCATGACTTTGTTAACCCGATTCTTTAGTTGGAAACCTGAGGATAAACCAGAGTCGATCAAAAGTAACATTTATTAGACACAGTTAAAGTAATCATCACTGGGCTCTCGCTCTGTTTCAGTCGACAAAGAGCCCTGAGATCTGGGTGATGGGCATTATCTCCTGGGCTCCATCCGCCTCCTCAAAGGAAGACTGGACACAACCAAGTCCTATTGGCCAGTTAGCTCTGGGCAGGAACAGGCCAGGTCCTAATTCATGCAGATGACAGGAATGTGCTAACAAATGGTGTGTGTGTGTGTGTGTTGACCTAAAGGTGGATCTAAAGCAACAGAGAAAGAAAAAGAGAGTCTGTAGACACAACCAGGGACTTCAACACAAAATATAGTTCTAAAAGGGATAAAACAATCAGTTATCCACACGGATTATGTGTTAGCATACAATGCTAAAGGGAGTAATCATAGCCTAATTCTAACAACTTCAAAAAGCTTTAAGTTTTCATTTTTTGCTCATTTTTTAATGAAGTTTTTTCTTTCTTTTTTTTGCCGTTGCTTCGGCATATGAGTCTTCAAAATGTCATGATATCTCTGCAAAACGCAGCTCCTGTCCAGCGATGTTTGTCTGTTTGTTTGTCTGATGCTTTTTCCTCCTTACGCGGGGCGTAATCCTGAGTGACGCGTCTTATCGGGCCGACATTTACCGTGCACTAGCCTCCACCCAGACCTCTGAGGCCGGGTTTCAGGCAGGAAAAGGCTTAGGAGTTTTGAGTTTACTCAGAGTGAGACGGCCTTTGAAGATTTTCATCCCGGTAAAGTGAAGGTAGCTTTTGGAATAAAGGTGCTGTGAGTCTCCTCGAAGTCTTTATCAACTCCGACCACTTTGCTTCATAGTGGAAACTATCAGACACTTATGCTGGAAATCTGAATCACAATGGTTTAATATTTTTAAACCATTTCTTCTTTTTGGAGACGGAAGATTTTTAAACCCGTAAATATACTTCTTAAACGCAAAGGTAAACCCACTGCCCCCATATTCTGGAACATCCGAAATACCGACTCTCTCCCTCTTTTCAAAACAAAACTCAAAACCCACCTGATTCAAATTTCTTGCCCACCTCACCTGTCACGTCTGGGGGAATGTCTGGTGTGTTGTCATGTGTTGATTACCTATTGTGTTCACCTGGGGTTCCCCTCCCTCATGTGATTAAATAGTCCTCGTTTTCCACGTCCTGTGCCAGTGTCTTTTCGTCATTTTTCGTCTTTCTGTTTTCGTCACCCCTTGCCACGTAAGGTTTTGATTTTTGCACTTTGCCATAGTCTTGTTTTTGTGCCATAGCCATGTTTTTGTCATAGCCTTGTTTTGCCAAAGTCTTGTTAACCTTGTTTTGCCATAGTCTTGTCTACTTTATTTAGGTACTTTTGCCATAGTCTTGTTAAATCTTGCTTTGATACTTTGTTCATAGTTTTGTCACAGCCTTGTTTTGAACCATCTCTTCCATCCATTCCTTTTGAGTGTGTTTTTGTTCAAATAAAACCCTTGGAACTAACCCTCTCCGCACCTAAGTCCTCCCTAAGATCCAACCCCTGTGACATCACCACCCCAACTCTAACATTCCCCTCATTTTGCACTGTTTAATTCATTCCATTTTTATTCATTTGCGATGTTTTTATTCATGATGTATTTATGACTTTGTATGTTTTCTTATGTTTCAATAGTGTTTTAATGACGATCGTCTTTGTAAAGTGTTTTTGAGTGGCATTAATGTATTATCATATGAGGAAAAACTCGTCCTGTACATCAGTGTTTTCCAGCCTTGGTCCTTTATGCCTGCTGCCCTGCATGTTTTCCATGTTTCCTGCTCCAGCAGACCTGATTTAAACAGAAATGGCAGCTCTTCTGTTCCACAGAAGGCTGAAAAAGACTCAAACTTTGTCAGTCCGAAGGGCTCCGGTTTGTCAGAGGAACCCACGGGGACTCAGGAATCTCACCACAGGATCTCCCACCTCACCTACATTTCTTCATCAAACCTCCATCCCCCACAGAAACCATTGACCTGTTAATCATTTGAAACAGAGCTGCAATTGGTCAGCTTTGTTATCCAATCACAGGACTCCATTGTGTCCAAAACAGGCTCCTAACAAGCCTCTGGCTGGACTCAGTCTGTGCAGCAATTGGAACGCATCAGCCTGACCATCATTCATGTCCGAACCCCCCTCCAAGTTAGGGACTGGCTTCAGTTCATGGTCCAAGATCCAGTTTGTCGTTTTCA